CGATTGCGTATTTATCTGTTTCATTTGAGGAGTTAACGAGGTTTGTTTTTTTTTTCGATTTGCTCTATTAGTTAGCAATTTTTTTTATTTTCGTACATATTTGTTCTTGCTGTGTTACTGCTGTAACAGGATCTTGAGATTCCAGTACTAGTAATGTTTCCTTAGACCATTCTAGTTAGCTTTCATGATCGGATGGCAGCTTGATGTTAAGTCCGCCCATTTTAAGGGGTAAAAGATATCTCACAGAACTGGGGGTTTAAAGTGTCTTTACCGGCTAGGCTAGGTAAAAATTGTTCTTTGATAATATTTTCACATATTTCTAAGTTTTCCATAGTGATAGGCGTTGTCCTGGCAAGAAATGAAAGCTTTTCTTGAACTCCTTTAATAAAGCAGGCATAAACGTTTTGGGGGGAGGTTTTAGCGATTTTCGTTAGTTTTTTCAAAATTTTGATTTGCTCATTCTGTTGAAACTCGAGCAACTTTTTACATTCAGATTTTGTTCCTATTACTGAACCAAGCACTCGGGCTCCTGCCTTTATAGTGATTCCTGTATTTGCGAAGATTTTCTGAGCTTCACCGGGTTTTTCATCCTTGACAATAAGTTGGCATTTGGATGCTTTCACGTGGTTGCCGAAAAATTTACCCAGTGATACAATTTTATCGAGGACGGTTCGCTTTATTTACCGACTGCTTTCCGTCGTCTGCGTACCATTTCTGGGTTACATCGTCTACTGATAAAAGTTTTATGAGGGGTATTATGGCTAGACCGTACATGGCCATTGCTAGTGGATCCCCTGGGTTGTCCCTTCTTGAGAGTAGATGGTTTTTTTGTTAAGGAACAGTTTAGATGGATTGGAGTAGGAGTTCTTAATCGCTGTTAAAAAAGAAGGGTAGGTATTTTCGATGCCAGCTTTCGGTTCAGCGAGTTGAAAGCGTTTTCGGCATCTATCAGTAAAACAGCATCGGCCAAAGTTTTGCTGTGTTGATCTCTTAGCGTGTGGATCGCATATTCAATGCCGCATTTTTGTCCTATACAGAGTTGGTAGTTCGAACCGAGCGACATGAGTTCGTTTTTTAGGCGTTTGGTTATTGTTCGCCCTATTATCCTACGCTTAACTTCTCCTATGCCTATGGGTTTTACTCCTGGATTCTTATCTAAGGGTATTAATCTACATGCGTTATATGGTTCCATTAGTTATGGATTTAGTTCTTCGGTGGCCAATTTTTTTTTGGCAATTTTAGCAATTGTTTTGAAATCTCAACTGATTGTTGCCCGAAGTGTGTTGAAATACGTCTCCATTCATTTGCATGGAGGCCAGATGGTCCATGCGATCCGTGCGTTCTCATGGCTGCCTTCTTGATATGTTGACCGTTTATCTGATCAAATATCGATGGATGGAAAGGAATTGTTTCGTTTGAGACTGGTGTAATATAGTTCTCATCAATTGGTTTAGATGGTGGGTGCTTCTCTATGAGAGTCTGGTCTACTGTCTTACCTTTGACGATCTCGTCGAGCGAAAGAACGCCTTTGGATGTGTCTGTTAGTTTTGCAATTGCGCTTGATATTTTTACAGTATTCATTAGTTTGTTGAACTGTTGTGCTTCAGTTTCAGCTTTTCTTCTACTTCCTTTCAACAAGCGCATTTGCAGCGCCTTCCCTTCGTTATATAGTCCATCCAGGTCTCCGTCTTGCCATTGCTTAAGTCGTCTTGCTTTTGTTTTGGATAAAGATCCATCATTTTCGGACTTTGTTTTGCACAGTAGTAAGTGTGGAAAAATCATTGCTGCGTGCATTGCGAAGGTATTTTCGTTGTTTTCTATTAGGCTGTTCAAAGTTCTATTGAGGGTTTCAATGAAGTTATAACCAACTTTATTTTTTGACAAGATCATAAAGACCGGTTTCCAGTGGACCACTTCGGTGTATATTTGCCTGGTGGTTTCTATGAGTTCTGGACAGGGGTTTGACTATGGGTCTTGTATTGTTCTAGGTTCTATAGTGGAAGACTCTCCTGAGTTTTGTGAGTGTGGGGCAGTGGAAGGGTGAGGGTGCATTTGGGGTAGCGTGGTTGTAGCTAGGGTTGGGGGATTGCATTCATGCTTATCGTTAGCTGAATGAAATTGGGAGGTGCAGCGATGACAACTGAAATCGTCATAGTGATCACTGCGGCGGGCTAGGCCGCTGCATTTTACATGCATGTAGCCTGGGCATGTGAAGCACTAAACACCTCCGCCTCGCAAGCTGTTTTTACAAATAAGGCAGTGTGTTTGAGTAGCCATTTTAGGAAGGACGGTGGTGTCAAGTTAGCGAGAGAATTTATAGATTAAATTTGCAAGATTATTTGTAAAGAAATCATTACCGTAGAAGGAGAAATGGATACCATCACGGCAGAACATTTGAGGGGTTAGATTTAGGTTGAGGTTAGGTGAAACAATAAGTGTATGGGGGTGTACAAATCCATTTATCAAATTAAACAGCACATGATTATGAATATAAATTTTGCGGTTTACTTCGGAATTATTACAGTTCTGAATTGTTTTGGGCATGATCAGTGTCTTGGGCTGAAACTTGTTAGTGCCGAGGTTAATCAAGTTTTTCCACTGCTGTTCTAATTCTTGTGGATGCAGCCTGTTGTCATTGTATCGAGCAACTATTGTTAATGTATTTAGGCGCTTTGGTCTGTATTTCAAAACTGTTTCAAACAGATCATGAAGCGTTGCGCCGCGGTAGGAGTGAATTGTTGATTTTACTAGAGCTGGTTTGATATATTTGGTCCTTGAAGTCCCGATAACTAGTTTCTGTGAGAACTCAGGGATGCGTCTTGCCTGGAATCGCGGCATCTACCTGAAACACAGACAATGGGGCGAGAAAGGAAGCTCTTTGGGGTGATTTATGAATACTTTCACTTAGGATTTAAAATTGCTTAGGCAAAGGCGATGGAAAAAAAGGAGTGGTACAACCTGACGTCGATTTGGAGGTCGATTCACCAGCTCACTCCTTCTTGCGTCTAGTTACGCCAGGGAAACTTCACTCGCCTACGGCTGGGACGGCGAGATTTGGTAAGATAACCAGAAGAGGAAAGCCCAGCGCGCATATGATCTATTTAATAAGTTTATCACAACAATTAGGCTAACAATTAGCTTATTCCAATTAGCTTATAGAAATTCAAAGTTTGACCGATTACAATTCGAATGGTTTTTCTTTGACGAATGGTTATTTGACGACTGGCTTTTCTTTTATTCTTTTTTAGTATGAATGAAATTTTTTCCATCTTTTTGAGTTTAAGTGAAAATGAAATTTTTTCTATCTTTTTGTTTGGCTGGTTATAATGAATTCTGTATTGTTAATTTTCACTTTTAGTGGCTTTGTTTTGAAATTTTGTACGATTTTCAATGTAGTAATCAAAGTCGCTTATTGCTTGTTCTGAGTTTTCGTTTCTGACAAAAAGCATTGTATCATCAGTGTATTTAACGATTTTGCAATAGTTTGGTAATTGTTATTTCGAGTTGTTTATTTTAAGTTTGAAAAAGATTGTTCCAAGACTGCCATGCGAACGGTTTGAAATGAATCTATCGTATTCGATTCGGTGTTGTTAACAATTGGTTTTTTAAGTCTATCGCGCACAAAATTTTCAATCTTATTATTTGAGCTTCGTGAGAATCCTAGGTTTTCAAACTTATCTTAAGGGTTTCAAGATAGGATCGGAATTTGTCAGTCAAATGCTTATAAAAGATCAAAAAAGAGGCTGCAATAAAATGTATTTTTGCCAAGTGCGTTTCCAAATAGTTCAGTACAGTATAGTACTTCATCTATGCTTGAGTTTGATGCTGAAATCCCAAAATGTGTTTTCTTTGTACGGTTATCCTTCGAGAGGTAATCGATCATTTGTTTCAAGTTTTTTTTTCGGAAATTTTTGAGTTTGCAACCTAACCGACTTAAGTCTGCGCTTATATGGTTCGTCCGAATGATCTTTTTCGAAAATTGGTTTAACAAATGTTTTTCGGTTATTGAGTGGAAATTTTAATTTTGTTGTTATCTTTGAAGAAAAATGGTAAACTAGTTTTGTTTGTTTTTATGATTTCGAAGAAAAATTGCTAACCGGTGCTTCTTTTATTAAAAGTTACTATTAGCAAAAAAGTGATCAAAAAAGATCATATTGTGCCAAGATTGTTTCTAATGATTCTTTTTTTCTTTCCTAACTAATTTAGTTTTCTATCACCTGAAAGAAATAGAGGCTCCTTAATGTTTGAGAATAATCCTTTGATTCAGCCAAATTTTCAAGCCAATCTTTGCTCCGACTATTGAAAATTGGGAGGAACTTTGTATTCAGATGTGTTTTTGTTCCGACTTTCGATACGAAAGTAACGGAATATTTGTGCTCGGGGTGGGTTTTTTTTTCTTCAGACAAATTTCGACTTTTTAACTAGCCATTTTTGACGGAATTTTTTATATCATTCAAAAGGTATTGTTGCCCTGACCTCAAATTTGAAAAGATATTTCACCTGTGATCATATTTCGTAAAGTTATGGGGGCTTAAAGGTTGTCATTTTGGCCAATTTGGGACAATTAACGCGCGATATATTTCGCGCTATTAACGCGTAAGCGGAGAGTTAATCCGTCTTAAAATCGTTCCAAATTGGTTGAAAGAAGTTAATTTGCCGTAATTGATTTGTTATAAGGAGCGAAATTCATCCTTTTCTACTTTATATGGCTAGTGGGGGGATGATTTTCATAAAAAAATTCAAATTTTAGAAAAAAAGATTTCATTTTATTTTAATACATTTAATTTTTTAATGTTATTACTGCTCCATAAAACCTTAAAAGGCAGTCGGAACATTCAGGGCTTCGCCTTGATACGAGCAGTCTTGTTTTTCTTTTGTTTTGAAATATAATTTGTACAGTTAACTTTTTCGTTAAAAGCGTAGCTGCTGATGTCATTGAATAGGGTGTAAAAGGTTGTGAATTCCGTTTCGGCCGTGTTTATTGATATTTATTTTCAGGGATGGAGCTTGCACATAGCTTAACTTTCAACGAAAATGCTCATAAATCCATGCCAACAGCTACTCGCGATCTATTTCTTTACGAATGGTTAAAGTTTTTGGGAAAAGTGCTGCCAGGGTTGGATAAGAAAGAAATAAAGCAGTGTCAGGAGCGTTTAGAAAAACAGCTTCTATCATTGATTTCTGTGCCCCAAAGTTCTGCTATTCAGAAATCTTTGGGAGAGACAGCAGCTTTGCTGTTCAATGTTGGAGAGACGTTTGGGCTGTATGCGTTCATCGAGTCCTGCAACGAAAGACTCAGGGTAAAAGACGATACTGTTAACAATGTAAAAATAAAGATTTGTGTAATTAACGTCTTCTTCGGGATGTACGCAACTTTGGGCCGAATGATGGGCAATACCTTTGCCGACACGATACAGATGCTACTCAGAAATACTAAGTCAAACGATGGAGATCTCAGGTCGAGTAGTTTGCTTTGTCTAGGCGCAATAATGGCAAGTTTAGGAGCTATGTGTACCTCCTATCATCGAGATGTGTACAAAACTGCAAAGTCATTTCACAGCGATAAAAGCATGAACGTGCGTATCAGTGCAATGAAACTTCTTGAAAGTTTGATTCCAAACGCGTCTAATGTAGTTTCCGCTGATGTTGAAAACCTGGTCACAGTTTGCTGCAAGGCTCTTGAAAGTAGTAACTATGACGTCCGCCTAGCAGTGTCATCAGTCCTGTCTAGGTTGTTAGTCTCCATGCTGCCGCCATCCAAGACGATGACATTCAATACATTGTCAAATGCACCTATACCGAAACAAATGACATCAAATCAGTCAACAAAAAAGCTTTCTACCGAAGACTGCTTTGGAATTTTGGCATCTTGTTTCTTTAAAGCATCGAGCGCGTCAGTGCGAGTTGGAATCGTCGAAAGTTACATCGCATTTTTCGATGCTCTTGGGAAACACTGGGTTGAAAAACACGTTAAATTTATAGTGAACCACACTTTAACTCTGCTTGACAATCCCAAAATGCTGAGCTCTCACATTGAAGCGGTGTACTGTAGACGCAGTGTAAACTTTATTCTAAGCCATGTGATCAATCAAATCATCGGCGAAAAATCTCAAAATGAAGCTGCGAAGGAGCTCATTAAGATTCTAGCTGGAAGAATGCAACATGTGAACGTTGATGCAACCGAGCAAGTGGTTACCATTACTCAACATGTTATCATATGCATACTGAATCAAGTTTCGTCGCTGGTCTCGCTGCAGGGCTCTTCGATTTCGGTGTTCTTCACTGAACATGCAACAGGTGCTGTGAATACGGTAGTTTCGTCTTTGCTATATCCTGCTTCAGCTGTGAGCCTAGCAGCTGCGTGGTGTCTGAGGTAACAGTTTCAAATGCTTGCTCTTTTTTTGTTTTGATGGATCGAAAACAGAATTCAATCTTATAGAGAAGACTTCAATTTTTGAAACTTGGTGGTATATATGATGGGGAACTAAGTCATGGCTTTTTGATTGAGGCTTTTTTTTCGTGAAGTCTGAGGATAATGAATAGGTTTTGATTCTTGATTTTAGAGTTATTGAAAAAGTTAAATGGTTTCTCTATTTTAGGTGCATTGTCATAGCTGTTCCAGCTCAGCTTACAGTCCTGATTGATACTACTCAAGAAAAGATCGAAGCTGCCAAAAACAACCCTGAGTCTCTAGTCGGGTACAGTAATGCTTTGACTGCCATCTTAGGAGCAGTACCTCTCGCGGAACTCGGAGTTCCCTCCATAAAAGCGAAGAACGCTTTCTCAATTGCTGAAGATTTACTTCGAACTGCTTCTCAGAACAGTCGAATGTCTCTTGCTAGAACCCAATGTGGATGGATGATTATAGGCGCGTTGATGAATCTTGGATCAATCACAGTTCGTCATTTTTTGTCAAAACTGTTGCTGCTGTGGAGAAATGCGTTCCCAAGGTCAACTAAAGAAATTGAAACTGAGAAAACGAAATTTGACGTTTTCAACTGGCGAGTCGTTCTTGAGGGTCGCGCTGGAGCTTTATGCGCGATGGAATCGTTTCTTCAAAACTGTTCAGAACTGGTATCAGATGACGTCACTAGAAGAATGCTAGCTCCTTTAGAATGTGCTTTAACGATGCTAGCTAACCTTCCTGTCAATGTGAAAGCGTCTGCTGCTCAGAACTTGAAAGTCAGCGCTGCTTTTTTCAGACTGCGGTTGTTTCTTGTCTTGGGTCAACTACCTCCGGAATGTTATGAATCGTTTATAACTCAGTTGATAAGAGTTTTGATAAATGAGTTTGCTCTTACGGACAAGCAGTCAGCAATCACGACGTCGTACTTGGATCAAGTTGGACATAAATATAACAGTATATTGCTAGGCGCCAACGGAACCGACAGCGATCACCAGGAAATTGAAGAGCAAATGCTTCCCGTTAACAATGCAATTTCATGTGGCACGCTAGAACATGATCCTGTGTCAATTTACGCTGCTCGGAAATTTCAAAAGTATCGGTTTTCTTCACCAGGACCGTTGCCTCTTGGGATAGCAGTCGTTGATTCAAGTGTAAGCCTGTTCAGTAAGATATTCTGCGCTACTGCTGTGAAACATCGAATTAAAATCATGCAGCATTTTGTCGAGTGTCTCAAATTGAATAAATCGGTGAAGCAACAATCGGTTCAAATCAATATTTTGACTGTCTTGCTTTCGTGTTTGAAAACAATGGCAGAAGGTAAAACACCAATCGGAAGTCAAGATCTTCAAGAGTTGATTCTGACGCTACTGCTGTCGTTGCTCGGGGATCCCTCCGATATCATACGTTGTGCGTCAGCTGAATGTGTTGGTCGTTTAGCCCAAGTTATAGCTGATAATACCTTCACAGCTAGAATAAGTCAGTCATGCTTTGACAAAATTCAACTCTCGAGAGATCCAACGATTCGAATGGGCAATGCATTAACGTTAGGGTTCGTCCACAGATATGTAGGAGGTATAGGCGCTGGGCAGCATTTAAGCACAAGTATCAGTATATGTCTGGCACTTGCCCAAGATATGAGTAATACTTCGGTTCAAGTTTGGGCGTTGCACTCGCTGGCACTGATAACAGATTCTGGAGGAGTGATGATTCGATCCTACGTCGAGCATATCTTGGCACTGATGATCAATCTTCTAATGACGGTTCCAAGTTCGGCCAAAGATATCCACCGGTATATTGGAAAATGCGTCGTATCGTTGATAACTATTCTAGGACCCGAATTACAGGGTAATGCACCTCAGATTTCAAGTATCCGATCATCGTGTCAACTTGCAAGTGACTTCCTACTTGGAAGTACTAACTTGCTGGTTATTGCAGAGGGGATCTCATGTTATCAGCAGCTGCACCTGTTCACACCAAGACACGCCGCTCTGAATTCTTTAGTGAATCTGGTTTGTAAGAATCTAACGAGCAGCTGTTTGGTTCTAAGACAAGTCTCGTGTAGTTGTTTGAAACAGTTATCACAGAGACAAGCCGACCAAGTATCTCAATTAGCAGCTGCTTATTTTGCAGAAACACGGGAGCCTGCTAGTGCGGGCGACACGTACTCTAGTGAGTTGGAGTTGGAAGCTGCTTTGTTTACGATGTTGGATAAGGAAGCGGATTTGACGATGCAGAATAACGTAAAGGTAACTAAAACCATTTTCATAGATTAATTAATATTTTCCGGATGGAGAAAGTCGTGATCTCATTTACTTTACTATGAAGATGTGCGCTGAATTGTTTTATAGTTTGGATCAAGCTGCATATTTAAGCGGTCGGTAGTGCAAATTAAAACCAAAAAGTTGCACTTTTTTGACTGACTAGTATAGATTTCATCAAGAAAAAGTGCTGTCAGTTTTTAATACTGTATTGGAAAGTGTTTGTTGTTTAGGACACTATTCTGATGATTCTGAACTCGCAGGCCATTTACAAATTGACAGGTTGGCTTACTCTACTGAGAAACGTACTGTTCATAGCCACGGGCGAAGAGGCAACGGAACAAGAGCCGAAAGGCAACGAAGAAGACGAGGATGATGACACCAGTTTCCAGCCCGTGAACAAAGAAACGAGCACCACTTTACACCAGAGGTGCAATACAAGAGCGTTCGCCGTGCAATGCGTGCAAAAAATATTCACACTCGCATCACCGACAAACGACGTGAACAGTAAAGCAAGTGAGATAGCCAATGCTTTGTCACATCAATCTCCTGATGGATCTTTGCTAAGCGAAGCAATGTTAAGTCAAGACGGTGTGGATCCTTTAGTGACTCATATTCAAGAACTAGTACGTATTGGTTTCATGGCTGCAACATCATCATACGACCATCTGCAAATCGAAGGTCTGAAAGTTCTAGAAGAACTCATTAAAAGATTCAGTGATGCTAGGGATCCGGACTTCGATGATCAACCGCTATTGGAACAATACCAAGCTCAATTCGGAGCGGCTTTGAGACCTGCATTTTTACGCGAGGGATCGCCGCATGTTTTATCAAAAGCATGTAATTTATGTAGTATTTGGATCACAAGTGGAATCGCAACTGATATTGTAGACCTTCGAAGAATCCATCAATTGTTGGTGACTTCTCTCTCAAAAGCACAGAATGCGCGGTCCTCGGGAGCGGGAGCTGTCTTCAGTGAAGTATCAGCAACAAGTGAAAGACTAGCTGTTTTGAAAGCATGGGCTGATATGTATTACGTAGCTCTGGGCATCGAGCTGAAGAAAAACGGCGAAAATAGTGAACAAAGTGGAAGTACCTCTTCAAGTTTGCTAGAATTGGTCAGACCTGAATTATCGAATCTATACTCGATGTGGATCGAAGCGCTCAAAGAGTATGGTCTTGCGTTGTCGCATGGAAATGTAGTAGTTAGCGACGAAGTTCCGATTACAGTTCGCGAGGCAAGTTGGGGGAATTTACTCTCAAGTGCAACTTTGTATTTCACCGCACATATGTTACCAAAAGCGGTTCAAGATGGAAAAATTGTGAAACGCGAAACAGATGATAAAACTTACTTTCTAGATAGTGATTTGATAAATGATATTCACCTTTTAATGGGCCTTTCAAGTGTTCCATTATCCCAATCAGCAGTTCTTCAGGATCCCCTGAAGATCTCATTTTGTCTCAAGTCGTTGGTGAAGCTTTTAGAGCAACCTCAAGTTGCGATTTACGTTGCATCAAATGAAACTGATTCAAAAGTAGTAGAACTAGCTCAGATTTTGTTCAAAGTTGCATTGTCTTGTGGAGACATTGAAGTTTTAGACCTTCTTGTGCAATCGGTGAAAGCACTTTCGAAATGCGCGCTATTGAATGAAAGTATTAAAGCCACTTGTAATTTAGACGATGGAAGCTTGATGAAGGTTCTTCTTGAAATTCTATCGTGCGTTTTCACGCGACATGTGCCGAGCTTGCGTGAAACGTTAACAGTGTCTAATATCCGACCGGTCAAAAAATTTAAAGACCCGTCGGCAAAATTAGTTGCAGCAACTTGTGAAATTTGGCCTAATATGTTAAGTTTATCGCATCCAAAGCATGAAGTAGCATTGAAAACAGCAAGTTTGCATATGCTTATATGTGCGCTGAAAGAATCTTGCACGACTAATTGTTCTGCTAATGCATTAAGTGCACTATTGCATTGTATCAAATCAATTGCAACATCGGAGCTCACTTTCGAAGAAAAAACAGATGAAGAAACTGAAACCGAAAATACTGAGGAAAAAAGTGGACATGAAACAAAAACTGAGGAGGACCGAGAAATGAAGGTTAAAATGTGGACCAAAGTGTTGACCTCTACTTACCTTTCGGTTCTGGACTTTGCTGAAAATTCAGAGGAGTGCGATCCGAGTCGTTGCTTGCTCTCATTCGCGACTCTAACCCTCTCGTTCCCCGAGAAGATTACAGTGAACTCCATTATTTTAGAACGCAGTGTTGCTTTTCTAACGCCACTTTTGAAGAGTAACAGAAGTGCGGTTAAGTTACAACATCTGAAAGTGATCTCATCTCTATTGAGGTCAAATAAAAAAGTTGTGGCTATTAAGTTTTGCAAGCCTATTTTGTCCAGTGTTTTTGCGGAGCTATTGGAAATTGGGGAAGAAAATCCAGACCATTGGCTTTGCTTGAAGGAAGAAATAGAACTACTAATCTTAGGTTTGCCACTTATATCAGAAGTGATCAATGGGTCTGCTAACGTTGCGCATGAATCTATGTTGTATCACTTACTTAAAGTGCTTAGTAAAATCATGGGCGTGTATAACAACCAGAGCCAGTTATACCTCTACTGCATTGAAACGTTGAAACGACTTAGCGCTGCTTATTCTGAACAAATAAGATCAATTTTTGCGAAAGATCCGGAATTGAAAGAAAGTGTCGGAACGGCTGTCAAACGCACTGTTGCTGTAGGTTTCTCTCCAGATTCAGCGAAAAGCAAAGCGGATCAACCAGCGAGCCAAGCGGCAAAACAACCTTCGATTCAATTGAAAGTCGATTTCAGCAATTTTGGCAAATGAATGTAAATTGAATTCTGAATTGATGTTAATTATATCTTTACCAATTTTAAAACATGTACATTTTGGACGTCTAATGAAAAGAAGATAGTCTCTCAATATTTTTGTTGTATATTGGGCAATAGTGTAGAAGATTTATCATTTAGTACTTTGGATGTTGATTGTTAAATTAAAATAGATAAGTGCTGATTTTGTGATTAAGGCTCCAAATTAGTTTTGAGGTAGTACCTGAAGAATCAGGTTGCGCAAGAGATTTGTGGGGGTGCAAGGTAGTGCATCAAAATAGAAACAATACAGCGCTTTAAAGAAGCGGGTACCAACAGTCGCAACAGCTCAGCCCGTCGAAAAATGAATTTGGGTTGGCGTTTTTACTACGAAACAACTTTTTTTAAAACCTAAGTCGCAAATAGAAGTGCTCATTTGGTGCACTTTTGGTATAGTTCCAAACATTGGCAATTTAAATGCATCTCTCTACTTTTTTGGCGGCTAGTGTTAGAGTATTTCCAAGCGACCGTGGTGCGGATACGAGTACGTGAAACTCCTAAGCTATATGTTGGGTGGTTCAATGCTGGCATATTGAAATAGTTTCATTTGGTAGCACTTTTGCTGCAAAGCCTTGGCAGTTTACTAGCAACTGCAGCTGCCTTAGTATTTGCCAGTTTTGGTGCAGTTGAGACGAGGTGAGACACTGTGTTTCTAGGTTGGAGGTACGATTCCGGCATATGGCAAAAGTTTTTGTTTTCAAGTAGTATTACTTTTTTCTGTTCCTTATTTCAGTTTGTTACTGGCTTTTTAGAGCTATTTTTTGCCGTTTTCTCGCTTTTGTTTAGCAGCAGGTTTGGCAACTGGCGCGATAAAATCATTGTCTGTATGAGTTAAGACTATTTTGTTTTTTGGTAGAAATGTGAAATAACAATTTTTTGGAGCAGGAAAAGAAACCTGCTGTTTTAGAGGATTTTTCAATCGTAGATTTTACGCATGCGAATAGTAAGCCTTATTAAATTGGATTAAAGACTTTTTGCGTGGTTAAAAGTTTGAAACAAAGTCACTTGATAGCGTAATTTATAATTCGTTTTAATATTTTGGTATCTGTGAAAATGGTTTACTCCTTGGACTGCAAAAGTCTTAGATTTTTTATTTACTCTTGTGATTTTTTTTACTACCCCTGACTTTTATCCTGTTATTTGTTTCTTAAAGCTGCTTTCGGCCTAAATAGTTTCGGTTTTTGTTTAATCGGCTTAGTGAGCTAATTTTGCGTCGTTTGAAGAGAAAAATAATTGCTGCACATTCTCTAGGAAAGATGGTAGTTTTCTTATTTATCAAATAATTGTTTGCATTTTCGATTTTAGCGTGAGTTATCGAATCGGAATGAGTAACTTTTTTTTCCAGTTTAGCAACTAGTTCAACCAGTCATTTGGGTCAGCAGTTGGCGTATCTGTTCTGTTGAAATGTCTTACAAATATTTTTTAAACATGTCCACGTTTGAAATCGCCGGTCTCATCAAGTTTTTATTTTTGTTGCTTAGAAACCAATTCATAATATTTGTGTTTTTAATTTTAAGCTTGTTCCGTGTGAATGGTGTCGAATTATATTTGTTGCCTCATAATAATTGAAAAAAAATTGATTCAATAAGGATGCGATGCTTAAAACCCCAAGTTTCAAAATTTTTTAGCTCAATTTTCGGATCAGGGGTTGTATCAAAGTGTTTCTTGATTTTTTTATTTTCCTTAATTTTGCTTTACTAGCTTGCGCCTTTTAGGTTAGCTGCATTGTTTTTTTTGTTTTTTATCACGGGTGATGCTACATTTCGCCTCTATGTAGAAAAAATGTTCGTAGAAGGAATCTGAATCCTCCGAGAGATCGGTCAACTTTTCTTTGATTTTTTGCGAGATGTAACCAATCTGATTTGCTTATGCAGCAGATTACTTTTTCATGCACCCTCTTGCCACTGTTTTTGTTACTTTTTGTTGAATCGAGTCTGGGGTTTAATCTGGAAGGTTCTGTTGTTTCAACGCAGCTTGAGGGTCACATACATGAGAAACTTTTCTTGGTGTTTGTTTTCTGTAATGCAATCAAAAAGTTTCAGAAGATTTTTTTCTATGTTCTGCTGGTAGTAATTTGCCTCCTTAGAGCTAACTACTTGCTAAATGAATCGTTTCATTTACAAAACAGATTTTCCAATTTATTTGCTCATTTTATGTGTTCAATTGTTGATTTTCTACGACAACTGCCCCCAATATGTTTCATGGGATAAGACTGAAAGTTTGAATGAAATTATCCGAATGCTTAAGAATCTTACGTTCCTGGCAACAGATTCCTTGAGCCATTGCGCATGGTTTTGAAACTTTATTATTGTGATTATTTCACTTGCGAGAGTAAGTGACTTGTAATCGGGAACTAGACTTTGTTTTCCCGTAAACAACTTTTCTTACACTTTCTGCCACTATGCTCAATTTTGACATGCTCAAAGGCTGACATGCTCAATATCTTGAAAATTCAATTAAAACTGTTTTTTTTCATGTGGGGTATTATTTAATTTTTTCAAATATAGTTATTGAAGGAACGTTGAATTTTTGGGTTTGTGGTTTTCTTCCTGTTTCCTGTCGGCTGATTTTCCGTTTGTTTTAAATGCTGCTCATATTATCTGATCAGTTTTTCAAACGGTTCTATTTCAAAGCTGCTTTTTTAAAAAAAAAATTTTGATTCAAAGAGTTAATACTATAATTGAAAGTTGCTCTGTAGTTTTTTTAATTTATCAACTTTGAGATTTTTATAATTTTTTGGTTTTTTTTTCGGTTAAACGGGTTAAGTGTATGTTATATAGGCGTAGTCAAACTTTTTTGCGCAGTTTCAAGGGCGAATTATGTTTCATGCTTAAACCTGTTTCCAGAGGTATGTGTCGTAAAAGTTTTACTTCGAAAAATCATGTGGCGTGAATATTTTCTATGTCTACAGTTTCATTTTGGGCTTACAGAGGGTCGCCCTAAATTTTTTTGCCTTATTTGCCGCTCCATTATTGATTTTCAATGCTTTTTAAGGTTGTTTATGATTATTTTCTGGGACAAATGTATGAATTTTTGCATGAGTTTTTTTGGCCTTTTTTCAAGTTATTTTTTCAGCTTAATTAAACTTGCTTGTTTTTTGTTTATTAAATATCTTGTAATGCAATGTTTGATTTGTATCGCAAGTCAACTTATTTTTTATAGGTTCAATATTTTTTTCTGTCCGCAGTTTCATTTTCGGCTAAACGAGGGTGAACTCAAGTTTTTTTGCCTTAGTTTCCGCTTGGTCATTGATTCTCAATGCTTGTTGAGGCTCTTTTTGATCATCATCAGAGAGAAAAGTATCACATTTTCCAAGTTATTTTTTTCAAGTAATCAAAAGGTTATCAAAAGTTACGCTAAAACTGTCAAGTTCATTGATAAAACAGTTAAAACAAAAGGAGCCTGTCACCAACCCAAAAAAATTTCAGAAATATAAAATCTTCAAAAATTAACACAAAACGTTTAAAATGTGTTCTAAAGAAAGATTTTGAGTTTTAGATAACGAAAAGAATGTAATTTTTACTAGCTAGAAGTTTTGGGTACGAGTTTCGCAAAATACTTTCGCACTTTAATAATTCTATTAAATATCAAAGCAAGTTCTAAATTCATCATTTGTGGTCTAAAGTCAGCTCAATTTGAGAAAAACGCATTTTGTTTTTCAACTTTTGTTCGCTTTGTCCGGGTAGTTTAAATCAGCTCTGTACTGCCTGTTTTTTGTTATTTTTTTAAATAATGATTCCTTCACATGGGTTCAATTTGTTTGAAGAGCATTTCTAATTAGGTTTTTGTTTGTTGTGAAACTCATTTTATGAACATCCAGCTAGTTTTATGGATTGTTTCCATGAAAAACCACTTCATATGACGTAAATGTTTGTAACATTTAGTAGTTTTTTAATTTTAATTAGTAATTTTGTGATATATATATTGTATTCCAAAAGAAGCCAATCTCTGCTTCGTCTATTTAATTTGATTTTTAGAGGTCATCAAATAATGTAATCCTGGTCATCTTATAATTACTCATCAAAACCTGGTGAAACCGCATATGAAAAGCCCCTTTCCCAACATGGACACACTACTTAAAAATGTCACGATCTAACCGCTTAAACAGCCAAAAGCTTTTTAATGGCCCTAATACTTTTTTCTAAAATTTAAAGACCAAGAAAAATATCTAAGCCCATTGAAAGATTTTTTGCCTTTTTTTTTTGTAGTTACACCTTGACATTTTGAAAGGTGTGTGTGTGTGTGGACCTTATGCCTTTGAAAAGATCGTTTTTTTTTTCAGAGAAATGCACAAACTGCACTGGAGGTTTTGGGTGCTTGCTTATAATAGTTACTGCGGCGGTGGACGGATGACGTGAAATGTACCGGAGTTAACACATCAAAGGTGAGTCAATGGAGATCTATTTTAGAATTAACTACCGATCGACGAATTAATCGATAGAAATCCAACGAATTAACCAATCATTTTTAAGTGCCAGTCTTTTGCGAAGTTAGTCCTTTAGGTTGTGTGAATGTTTTCTGGTAGTCAAAACAACTTCTGATTTTTCGCGGTTTTGACGGTTAAATTTTTTGAGCTCGCTGGTTAAATTCATTTTGCAAGCTGAGTTGGTCCTCAAAATTAGTATCAGTGGATTTCAAATCAACTTATTGAATTTATCAAAAGTCAAAAACGTAACGTATTGTAAAAAAAGACATGGCAAAACTACATTTTTCTTGACTATTTTTTGACAATTCGTTTTTTTTCATTGGAAGGTCTGAATTTGCAGTATTCAAGTGATCAAATTTATAATTCGTTCTTTTTTTTTATCATTGCAGATTTTTTCGAAAAACTGCAAAGAGTTCCGACAAGAGTTCTGACCTGCCCTGCCTGCGCACAGGTGTGTTAAAAAAAGAATCAAAGTGAGATTGCCAGCTACAAATTTCAACCCGTTAGGTGGGAATCTTACCCCCCGCTGTGTCATGTTGGTTGCCAAAGAATGGCTATTAAACCAGTTTGGTTAATTGAATGTTCTGACTACGAAATGCGGAGGTTCGTTGGATTCGTTTGTTCATGATTTATGTGCCTATTTAGCATTTGAATTAGCGAGTTTTTTTGTCGAGATATCCTATTGTTGACTGATGACAAAATTGATACTAGTTGACTCTAGATAATTTAGTGTTGACTGAAAAGCCGATTTTTTTCCCAGTTGTGTGAAAAAAGTTTTCTTAACCTTGGTATAAGTTACAGTTATTAAGAGTAATGAACGTAGTGAAGACTCTCATATAGGTCTTGGTGATTTTTTGTTTTGTTTTTTTTAGGAAAAGTCTTTAAAGTCTCTAATAATTACAGATGTGCATTCATACATATTGAATGCACAAAGGTATATATACTCTTTTTGACTTCATTCAAAATTCATCTGCTAAAAGTGACGTGAACAATTTCTAGTTTCGAAAGTGGAATTTGATTTTAAGATTTAGAAAATCGGAATAAAAACTTTACCTTTTGATCCAGTTTTCTCAAAATGGGTTAAAATTATCAAAAAAGCGCAAATCATTATTTGCTCTAGAAATTTAAAGAGCTTAAAGGGCGTCTATTTTTTCTTTGGAATTCAAAATTTTTTTGACAGTGTTTTTTTTCGGTTTTCTTGCGTTCATTACTCTTTTCCAACTGTCAGTTGACTATGTTTAAAGGTATAAGCCGCGTTGTGAAAAAGTTCAAAAGTTCGTACTTGCTTTTGTTAATTGGCATTTTACTTTATTTGTATGTGAGAAGTTGTTATACTGACATCCGAAAATGTCAATATCTTGCAATGTTTACGGAAGTAAAAGCTCGTTTTATTCAACGAAATAACATTTTCCAACATAGCTCGCATGAATTAGTGCTGAACAAATTAGCCTTTTTGCTGCAAAAGAGTTGAGCATTTTTGCATTGGCAATTAAAAAGCAAGGGTTTTTGTAAGCTTCATTAGTAGTTAGTGTTTGAGACAGGAAGGCGCTATGGCGCATTTGTGAAGACATTAGACTCCATAGATCGGGGGTTAGAATATATGGTTTTGATTTATTATTGATTATACAAACAATTTATGTCAAATTTTTAAGGTTCTCATTAAATTTTGAAAACGGCAGTTCAGTTTTCCTCCTTTTTCGGAAGGCAAACTTGAAAAAAATTTTCAATTCAGTTTTCATTTTCATTTTTTGTGGCGTTCTCTCTGTGCTATATAAAGCTTCAAGCCGTCATGGCTAAACTATAAAAAGTCCTCTTATTTTGTTTTTCACATAACTGCGTCTCTTCATAGTTGATTTTAATTGGGATTTAATTGTTAGAATTGATGAGAATTATGTACGAATTTTTAGCTGCTGATTGAGTTATACGCTACCAGACTCTTTTTTTAGGGTTGCAATTCTGAGGTAAGTGTTCGTCACGAGCTAGTTTTTGATGCATTTTGGGAATTACGAAATTTCAACCGTCATCGTTTGTCGCAGAAATTATCTAAAAACAGAAAAAAAAAAGTATAGAATTAATGCAGGTCTCAGAATTAAAAAAATAAGAACGAATCTCAGAATATCAAGAAATAAGAACGAAGTTTTTGATAAAGAAAATTTTTGATTTTTCTCAATTTTCTATTACATTTTTCTCAATTTCATTTATCCTACATAGCAAGTTTTTGGTGCCAATACTACAGAAGTGCAGTGTGTAGACCAAGTTCTGCTCTAAAACGGTTTATTTGACGATTTTGAAAAATTTTGTCGAAGAGTTTCAGTTTTGCAAGAGGGCGAATTACCATTCAGCTGTTCAAATTAAGTGTTTTTTGTATTATTGAGTAGCGACGCACGCATCGATTTTTTCCTTTAATGATAAAAATAGGTTTGAAGCACTTGGTTAGATACGTATCTACCTATATAAAGCGCAAATGTAGGTCGTAACTGGAAAGAAATTGAAAGGTAATACAATAGCAGCTATTTTTAAATACGAAATTGCAAAATTGAGGGGAATTAAGCTGTTTTGTTGCTTTCTGATGTCATACCTTTCATTTTTGTTAGTTTGTTCATTCCTTTTACTGATGACAGAAACAATATTAGCAAAATGTGGGTGCGAAACATCTGGTAGATTAACAAAGCAGCAGACATACATTTATTAAGGTTGATTATGAAAGAAGTCACCTCAAATAGGAATGTACAAGATTGTATATGAAATTTTGTCATTGAAGCTTGTTATTTAAAACAATAAGTGACACCAATTGAACCATTATTTAGAAGGTGATTTAAGAACTTTTCATATTTTGAAGCTGAGACAAAATTATTCAAATTGAGATGTTTAGAAAATTAATAAACCTACAAAAATAAATCATCCTTTATATTTTACTCCATGTTGGAAAATATGCCTCAAAATATTCCTCCACTGTAACTGGTATGTAAAGAAAAGGTATCATTATTGGAAAATAACACAGAACTGTTTTTTTTCCAGGTCTTACCCACAGTAAACTGGCTTTACGGCGGTTTCAACATCAAAATGCAACACAATTCCACTGGCTAGTCAACTCAACTGACTGTGAATGGTGTAGTTAAAGCAAGCTTGCTGACCGAGTTCAACCTATTTCTCCTAAAGAAGCAACCTCATTCAGACCGTTTCTTCTGACTTACCCATCATACATACCTTCATGGCCACATTGCTTTGTTTCTTCCCTAAAATTGAGCCCAGAAGTCGATTTTTACCATCAAATAGTCTCGTTTAAATGTAAAGACTGAAAAAAAGGCTGTAATTTTTGAGTGTGGAAGTGAGCTGAACATCCGGATCAAGATTATCTTTTATCTCTTTTCGTTGAAAATAGAGCTCTTAAATAAATTTAAAAGGTTCTCCAAGAGGTTCAGCTTCAAAATATATCGACATCGTTTCTCTATATAGACAGAGGGTAACTTAATAGTGACTTAGATAATATTAATTTATTGTGATGAAATTTAGCGTTTCGATTCTAATTGGGAAATGATAGCGACTTGACCTATTATTTTTGCAATGACCGCAATAGCAATGACACTAATTTCTTAACCACAAAAAGCTACCAAAGGTTGTTTCGAGAATTAATCTGTGACTTAATTTATATTTTTGGTTTGGGTCATGAAATCAGTTATTATAAATGTTTCTTTTTTTTCGATACTTAGCTAATGTTTGAAGAAAGAGAGCCTTTGTTTGTTTCCGACAAAACGTGCCAAATACGTTTAACATTCGCTTGACCAACCGACCTGCCTTTCAATTTTGATACGAATTAGTGTACAAATTACGTTATCTTGGAGTTTTTACCAATTGCTTGAATTTAACTTAACGCTACCTCAATTGAGATTTATTTAGCCTTCAAAAGTCGTCTAATGTCATTTCTAGCTTTATTGAGTCTTTTCAGCTTTTGACTAATTTCAGTCAATCTAATCAACTATTTTTTGTTCTTGTCGTGTTAAAAGCAAGAATAAAAATCAGCGGCCAGTTAATCTTGAAGTAACTCTACTCTTGAGTAGTTTCTGAAACTTAATACAGACAGTTCTCTGTTACTGCAGTAATGAATATTTATAGCTGTTTACATTGATTAACCTTACAAACTACAGATACTGTCCATTTTTATGTGAATTTAAGTAGAAACTCGATTTTACGTTAAAATTACAAGAAAATGTCTTAAAATTTGCAGACTTTTACCGTTGAGTTGTAATTGGGTACAGTATTATACTTTGTTATTTGTTACCATTCTGTCAGCTAAAAAACTAGTGCCTCTTTGTACGCTTTGGGTGTTAATCAGTAATTATTAATTCGTCATCAGCATGTCTTATCCGCCAATGAAGGGCTCTTCTGGTGGAGATGGAATGAAGCCTAAACGATCATCTTCTCCCTTCCGACTCAAGTAAGTTCTCTTTTCACTATCGTCGCCAAAGGATGGTACCTAATACACGTTGCAATTAGCAAGAATATTGCAACCGGACACTGGACATTTTACCGTAAAAAACTTTGTTCCCAGAATGCACCAGGGGGCGTTCAACAGTGCCGAAAATGAAAAAGTGTTCAACAGTGCCGAAAATTAATGATTTTTGGCACAGTTGAGCAATAATTTTTTTTCGGCACTTTTGTACGTCGGTCTTGTTTTATTGCCCTAAATTTGCGTTCAACTATGCCGAAAAACAACAGTGTCGAAAATAAAGTTATTGTTCAACAGTGCCGAAATATCAATTTTTGTCACTGATGAACACTTCATTTTCGTCCTTGCTGTCCTATTCATCAGTGCTGCTCTTTTCATCAGTTTAGTTGAACAGCATATCAAGTTCCTGCTACTATTTTTGCTGGTTTAGGGTAGAGGTAACGCACATGCTTGGTACGATAAAGTTCTGGATTCTAATCCGTCTGTGCCTCACTTTTTCGAAAATTCAAAATTTTTTGCTGGGAAAATTTTACTTGTCCGGCTATTTATTGTCTGTTAGTTTTTTTATTGGCTAAGTTTCCCTCAACATGTCTGATTTAAGAAATTTCCATTGTAATTGAAATTTATCGCTCAAAAATTTGCTCATTTTTTTTAGTGAAAAGTAACATCACTTTTTTCCAGGATCATTTTTTGTATTTTTACTGTCGCGATAAGCAAGGGTATTGCAATCGGTTACTAGAGATTTGATTAAATAATTTTGTTACAGGAGCTCCAGTTTTAAGATTTCAGGCGTCTTTGTGATTTTAGGATTCAGCTCTCTTATCGTTGCGGAATAACTTCATAATCGATAAGTTTGGTGTAATTGGGTTTTTATAGGCTTTTGTAGTTTTCTCAGATTGTCTGCAAGTTCTTTTAAGTGAAATTAGTTTGACGCTTTTGCGGTCAAGTTTTTAATTTTTTTTTTTCATTCTTGTTCACGGGGTGTTGCAACCGGGTACTAGACTTTTTTCTCCTGTTAACAACTTCGTTCTTAGAATGAACGAAATGGTTTTTCTATTATATATCATTTCGCCGGATTTTAAGCAAATTAATTACTTGTATTGCCTGCATATGTGTCTTGGCTGCGTGCTAATAGTTGCATAGTAAATGTACTTGGTGCAAAAAAATGTTCGGTAGGTTTTCGGCGTTGATGTCGGTCGGCTTGAATCGTCGGCTTAGTTTTCAAGTGATCTAATTCTTATTATTTTCGTAGATATTTATGAGAACGGTTGAACTCGTGGAGAATTTTTGGTAAAACTTAATTCACCATCTAATGTAATCTCCATAATGCATTAAGAAGAGTTAAACTTGAAAAGTGTCAATTTTTTTTGGAAAAAAAATTTGATAAGTTTGGTTTGGCTGTGTTGATTCTTTTATCTCTGTTATTTGTGGCTCTGCGACCGACTGTATGTTCTACGCGTGCAATTAAAGTTTGAGATGCTTATTGATATTTAAGCTTATGTTTTCTTCGGCAGAATTAATTTATATGTTTCACTTTTCGTTGGATCTATCTTTTGAACTTGGCATTTCAGTTATCGCAAGTGGTGCGAAGCTGAGCTTCGCCTCGGTGTCAGTTTTTTGTCTCTTAGTCTGGAATAAATAACCTGGCGGTTCAAATTGTTCACCAGACAGTGACTGGGAAAGGCCTGAATGTCTGTACTTAGTCTATGTGATATTTTCTAAAACCTTGACTAAAGCTAAACTATAATAATGTTCAGCTTTTAATAATAAAGTAAATAGGTACATTAAAGAATCAACAGAATAATATGTGCAACTATCATTTTGCAATAGCTGACAAAGAGTGTGAGTATAGCGCAGTTCTATTTAACATCAATTATAGACAAATGGCAGGTATCTGACATAATGGTTAACAATAAAGCTGTCAGCGATAACATAGGCTTTGAGCATTTAACTTCAAAACTATTGTTGGACAATTTAGCTTCACGTTTAGGAAAAATTACATACACCGTATACAATTTGAGTCAAAGGACATAAAAATGAAAGTTTTAATCGTTTCGTTTCCGAACTTGTGCTGGTTTGAGCTGCGCAAATCTCGGCCTCTTCAATTTTTTTCTGCGTGGCGACGGCGTGGATTACGATGAAGTTCGAATATCCACTCGTGAAACTGGTTTATCTGTAGCACGGGTTGCTCTGCGTTCTTCGCGGTGCTTTTGTGGTCTTTCAAAGAATTGTGTCTGCATTTTGCTTTTTCCTTATTATCTGGTCGACGAATTCGACAGCTGTGATTCAACGTTATCCATCATTGCGTCTCGTTAGTGTCTTTGCCTCCTGTTTGTCGTTCCCACTGTTACCAGGAACTGCTATTTATGACGAAGTTACTATGGCCCCGGCACGCCCGTCAATCAACGTTTCTAGGCCTCGTTGATTTGTTTCGCTTCATTTGATTTGTTTCTCGAGTTGGCGAAGTTTGACTCTATTTGCCCAGCCGCGTAAGTTGATTTATTTCTCTGCTGCTATGGGAACCCCTGAGATAAGTTAATCATTTATCGGTAAACCTTGATTGGTGCTTGAGCTTCCCTGTTTTGTGGATCTGAGTCCATGTCCGACACCTTTTTGATACCGCGCTCTGGCGAACTGCTCGAAGATAAGACGAGGTCAGTGATTCCACCACTGGGAACATTGCGTAATACATTTGGCGAACTGGTATACCAGGCAGCCAGTGAGTCGTACAACTTCATGATCTTCTTCTGTCGTTGATCCAATCTCGTGAAGGGCCAGAAAATGTTCTAAAAGGTTATCAGAAAATGTTTCTGGAGTGTTTGCTTTGATATAACCGTTCTCGTGTAGGAGTGCAGATTTCATAGTGTCGTTTCCGTTTTTCCGGGCCGTACTTTTTTCCGGGTCGTATACAGAGTTCTCTCTGGATGTCAGAATAACGCATCTTTGCGCTGAATGTGTCTCGTATGACTTCCTCTTCGATGGTTTCGGTCCTGTCATATTTGGAAGCTTGACTTACTGGTCGGAGAATAAAGAATTCTTCACGCTCTCTGTCGCCGTTTGATGAGTTCTAGAGTTGCATCTTGTTGATAATGTTTTTTTCCTCGTTTGAAAAATTGTCCACGGGCGTTATAGAAAAATTTACAATTGACTGACTCAAGATTTGCATGGGCATGTTGTTGACCGAATTTTTTCTTTTTCCGTTGCTCAAAGCAAAGAATAAACTAGATTTTATTCGCGCTTCACCTTCATGGGAAAAGAGGTTCGTAATGTTTTATGGTCCCTAGTTTCGCCGCCTTGCGTGCTACTCGGTTGTTTTTCAGATAGCTCCATGGTTTCTCGCAACTCTTTTGTCTGCGTCATTGCCGTGTAACCGAGATGGGTCCGGTATTAGAATTCTTCGGTCATATTTTTGAGTGATACGGCAAGGAAGAATCGGCCTAACAAGACCTCTTAAGTATATGGAGGTTCAGCCGACTGTTTTTCCCAAAAAGAAAGAACTCCAAGCAGTTCCGTCCTGTCTTATGAAGAAGAAACTGCTAACTGCGATAACTGATATCTCCTTAAACCTTGACTAAAACCAAACTAGAATAATGTTGAGTTTATAATAGCCAAATAAATAGGTACGTAGAAGAATCAATAGAATTTGCACAACTATTATCTTGCAATAGCTGACAAAGAGTGTGAGTTAAGCGGCGTTCTAACTAACACTATTCAGAGCAGTGAGTTGACCGCTTATGGAAAAGCCGCTTTTCGCCGCTTCCGCTTTTTTCGAAGCCGCTTTTCGCTTTTACCGTTTTTCTAAATTATAGCTCTCCGCTTTTTAAGAAAACAAACAGAGAGAAAAAAGTCTCTGACAGAAAAAATTCTCTCGACAGTACCTGTGTCAGGGCTCACAGAAAGTGCATTGAAAACGAAGTTTTTGTATGCTTTCTGGATAAGTCGACCAAATTTCGACAATGGGCGAGAATAAGTAACTCGACATGCGCTCTGCAACATTTTTATGTGTGAATAATCGCTTTTCTGAAAATGAGTCGCGCTTTTCTGCCGCTTTTACAAAAATCATTCCGCTTTCACCGCTTTCGCTTATTTCAACTAGTTTTCCGCTTTTTCCGGCCGCTTCCGCTTAAAGCGGTCAATTCACTGATTCAGAGACATAGTTAGTAGTTATCTGAAAAAATGGATAACGGTACAGCCGTCAGCAATTACATAGGCTTTGAAGATTTAACCTTAGGCTATTAGTGGACGATCCAACTCCACTAGTGTAAAATTGTTTTATAAGCTTCTTTGTTTTTTGGATTTTTTTCATAATACTTCTGCTAACTCAATGTCAAGTAGGGCGACTTCTTTAAAATCAAAGTTCCAAATGGATTAGAAATAAAGTTTTTCCGAAAGCGCACAAAACTTATCAAGTGAAATGATTCAAAAAATGAGAAAAACGTTTTCATCATGCATCTTTGAAGATTTCAGTGCATAAATACAAGAGTTCAGTGTACAATTGAGCTGATTTTTCCATCTATTCACCACACTGGAATTTTTCTAGCCCACATGGGTTGTTTAAAAAGGCCCCAAGAAAATCCCATTTAGTCCAAAAAACTAAAGACGCCTTGGTCTGATATCTTGCCTATAATCAATATAGATTGAATTGCGAGCAGCTTTAATTCTTTGTCTTGTATTCTAGTTCTGAAAATAGAATAAAGTTTTAGATCGATGCCAGGGACTTTCATTTTTCAGATAGTCATAAAAATGATATCAAATTTTTTTGAAGCAGGTGTTTGTCTGGAGTAAACTTTACAGAACAAATTTTGTGTCAGTTTCCGTATAATTCGGAGCCGAGATTGAAAAATCTATCATGTTCGTTACGTTATTACTACCAAATAAAGACACATTGGGGCTGAATTTCCCACTCAGTTCAGAAATTTAAGCCTCGTCGGCTTTTCGACTTTCTCAAGGTATTTTAACTTATTCTGACCAAATTCGAAATATCAAAT